GTATGTCGCGACATTTTACAGTATGTACACCAGAGATTGTCTTGGTTTGCCCCCTTTGATAATTCCGCCTTTCCATGTTCAGCATTTTGCGGTTGGTCTAGAGTGAGACCGGAAAGATGTTGGTGTAGTGCTGACCCACAGCGACAAAGCACAACGACAGTGACGAGGTGACTTCGTGATTCTGCAGAGGCAAATCAACAGGTGGTTTTTTATTTGGGTTCAATCTCAACTATGGTGATGAAGAGTCCGATGATGATTTTCAACTGGGGTATCGGTGAGGCTGAGGTAGCGGTGGTTATGGCAGGATAGTGCAAAGTTGTTTTGGTGAGTAGATTCAGTGAGGTTCAATTGATTAGATTAGGGAGAGACAATGAACCAGTATAGAAGCAATGGTTTCAATAGTTGAACAATATTGGGGTTTGTTTGGGTTATGACTAGGATTTAGGGTTTTGTGATTGGTTGCCGACATTGGGTTGATGATGTTAGACTGTGATGACAGTGGTTGTATAGGTTTTGGGCAGTGTATTTGTTCAGGGTATTTTGTCTAGGTTTTGAACAAACCGTATAGGTGATGGGTTTTGGATTTGGTGATTTGATTATTGTTGTTTGAATCTTTTGCTAAACTTGGATCTTTTTGCTTTGATACCAAGTTGGTGCAGGACGGGTACGCTTGTTATAACTTTTATTTAGTAGCGAAAAGAAAGAAGGGGATGAGAATGAGAAGATGAGATGAGGCTTGACCAAGGTGAGAAAATAGACGAAGGGGATGAGAAGATGATTGAAAGAGATAGGCTAGAGAGACTGAGGGATTGAGAAAAGCAAGAACAAAGAGGGAGAAAGAGATACAGATAATAATTCAGTACTCCAAAACTGACTTGTTAACTTACATAGAAGCCGCCTTTATATAGGCAAAACATAAACAAACCCAAAAATAAAGTAGTACTAAAATGTCCCTAAAATTAAACATTATCAAAATAATGAAAACAAATAAAAATTAACTATAATTATATTAAATTCCTTATTTCATCTTTCTTTTCTTTGCCCCTTTTCCAAGAGTAAAGTCAAATCATGTGTTGTTCATGCATGCAAATCACAACTCGTTCTCCATCACAACCAAAAACAAACAAAGCTAAGCAATTGAGGAAAACCCAAATTGGGAGTACCGTAGCCCTAGTTTCTTCCTCACTCTGAACCTCAATGCTGAAGAAGTAAAAATAATCATTGAAGTCATCATCCTCCTCTGCGTCACTGAAGGGTGGTGCAATAAATAATCAATTGTCGACCACAAAAATAACCAATTGATCAATCGGACGGAAGAGAGCTAACCATCACTGGAGGTTTTGTGAAATCTCTCCGGATTCACCTTGATACAGAATTCAATTGACAACAAGAGATGACTTAAATTACTGGAGCTTTGCTGTAGAGAGAGAGATAGAAAGAGAGAGAGAGAGAGAGAGGAGATTATAAGCGAGGGTTTTAAACCAAAGTGGCAATAAGTTTTCCTTGTTTTCACAGTTTGAGAAATTGTAACCCAAAAACTCAGAGAACTTCATTTTGTAGTTCTCTAAAAAGCTTCACTCTTATTTTATTTTATTTTATATCCTTTTTCCTAATTGCTACTCACACCTCCCCTCCCCTAAGGAATTGTTTGCACCCAAGAGATTGTGACAGTTTTTTTACAACTGTTATTCAAAACAGATCCAAGCAAATATAAAACCAGTTTTCCTAGTTTTTTGTCACTCAAAAAGCAGTTTTACAAACCAAGCAGGCTCATAGGCTTTCAAACTTTCACTTTCTTTGATTTTTCTTGTTAATTGTCATCATTCTAATGTATAAATAAATAGATGAAATAATATAAAAGGCTGTGTAAGTGTGTCTTAGCATTATTGAGCTAAGCATGACAAAAATGAATTTCAAGCGCTGTGTTTGTTTTCCAAAGGAGGCATAATTATTAAAGGCTCAAGACACACTAAAGCATTAAGGTCTCCTTCAGCCTAGGCGGAAGGCACTAAGAAGGGCAGAAGCTTGATTGATGTAAGGCGTGTGACAAAAATGAACAATAAATATGAGGACACAAAAATTATGAATTCTTAAAATCATAAGCAGCACAACTAATCAACATTCATTAAATAAGCACATGCATGAACTGAATCAGATAACATTAAAAATGTGCAACAATAAAAATCAATTATCATATATATTGGAAACATATATTTGTTATCATAAAAATTCAGAATCGAACACGACACAATTAACTCAAGATCTCCTTCAATTATAGAATAAGAGCAAATTACATGATCTGTAAATTTGACCATAATGTGATGTATATTATGGAAATTCAGTCATTAAAAAAGGAAGAAAGAATATGACATAATTAAATTATTAAAAAATTAAAGAGACACCTTATTATTATTATTAATTTTTCTGTAGCCCGGAGCCTGCGAAAAAGTTCGTACTTAAGGCTTCACGGAAGTCTGACTGAAGAGATCTGTCCTGTAGTGGGTTGAGCCACTTTGACTGTGCCTTGACAAGCCTGGGCTTTTTGAAGCCTAGGTGCGCCTTTAAAGCCTATGAAAGGAGGGAAGCTTTTATGTATCTCATCTATTCACATATGTGATCGCACACATGATTTTATCTTACTCTGTAGACTGACTGGTAGGGGACATGCCAATCCCCTCTCACACCTCCCTTCCTCTCGTAAAGAGAAAATTAGGAAATAAAATAAGATAAAATTAAAAAGTATCACTTAATTTTTTTTTTTTTTTTTTTTTGAACTATCAATGCGCTTCAAGTGAGAAATTCACAATTGCTATGCTTTGATACCAATATAGGGAAGAAACTGAAGAATATTTTGTTGCCCAAGGCTATGATACATAGGAGTACGTTATACACAATTAGACCTACTGGTGGTTGAAGTTTGGATGGGTCTTGCAAAAACTAAGTAACAAACTTTAGCCAAATTTTAAATTCCAACTAAAGCAACCAACTAAATTCTAATTAATTGGAAGAGTTCCGAAGTATTAAACTTGAAAACATCCACTCATGAACACTGATTTTTACGCGGAACAATAGGGAAAAAGCCACGAGATCTCGTCAAGGCAGATCAAGTTCACTTTTAGGAGATAGGTATTGCACACTAGTTTAATGAGACTCTAACCCAAGAATTCCGTAGTTACCTCTGACCTAAACTTTTACGCTAGACATTCCACCGGAGCTCTTGTCATCGTCAGTCAACAAATCTGATGTTCACGTGATCTGCTTTCAACCCGTGCTTTGATCTCCATGACTAGTCACGTTCGATTGTTTGTTTTTGTGTGGAATTGGTTATGGTGTTTAAATACTTGAAGCTCTAGGATTGATACATTTTAACACATGAATGCTTATTCTCAATATGATAATGAAATAAAGATCCACTAATTGAATTGCAAGGATGTACTTCAAATTGCCTCACATAAATGTTTTATACTCAACATATGCTCTATGTGCTTGCTTAGGTTTTCTGAAAGCATATGGTCTTTATACAGATGTTGGAGGCTGAAAAAGATTAGTATTAAAAGAGTTCAAATTAGATCTGGAAACTGCTGTTTCGCAACTTTCAATTGATTGATCGAACCTAGTCCAGCGAGTTTCAGTTGGTCCTTTGATTGATCATACTCGATATTCTATTTCTAATCCTAATTCTAATAGGATTCTGATTTCTGATATTCAATAACGGTTTAATGCCTTGTAAAAAATAACTTTGAAGATTAAAACATGAAATTTAAAAACTCAACTTATTTAATCAAATAGAGGTGAGTGCATAGTTTTGAGAGTTAAAATTTCCTTTTTCTCCCTTGTTGAAGCTCTGAATTCTTCGATATGTCCTTGGCCAGAGGTAATTCAACTACCTAATTTAACCAAATCTTAAAATTATAAGCAATTTTTGTCAACAATATTCCTATTGACCTAACAAAGAGTATATATATTTTTTTCATATTTTGTTTCCACCAAATCCCACCACTTGCTCCATCCGAATTTCCTTACTTAAAAATAATCATTTTCTCTTCATGAGACCTATGTTGTTGACTAGCTCATGATAGGGTTGCTTTTTTTGTTATCAGATGAAAAAGTATGTGGTTTTAACTATGGTAGAACTTAAATACATTGGTCAATTTTCAAGTCATCTTGTCGGTAATATACTTCACTTTCATAGTTTTGATTAGGTGTATGTTCTATGCTTTATTTTCACTGCCTAGTAAGCGTGGATATGAAGAGGGGAATTGGACGCAACACAATATGAACACGTTGACAAGGAAAAATCTTAAAAAATCCGAGACAGACTTGGGTTGGACACTGCCATAAATTATATATTTTTGTATTATATTATATGACAAATAAATATTTTGTATATGAGGTATACATGTACATAGATATACGCTGTCTCCTTGTTATGACATGTTATATAGGTATACATGTATATAAATATTCTATATGACATGGATGATTATAATTATATGATTTAGAAATCATAAATTTTGACTCTTCATACTCTCATGAGCACATATCTTTTACTTTTGAAGTGTGGTCAAACTTTATATATGTTTTATAAAAATATTCACTCTATTGTTTCTTACAATTTTAGTTTTATCTTTCTCCATGGTAAAAGGTCTTATCCAACGTTCATGGTTCATCAGTCAAATGTTTCCAAGAGAGAGGTGTAAGTCATGTGTCCATACTTAAGAATTTTATTGTTAAAATTATGGATACGGTCAAGATGTGTTGGGCCCATATCTGGAAGTGTATGAGAAGTGTCGTAGTCTGACATGGACACAGTTACTTCTCACAAGTATCCGAGTTTACCGTTTTTTTTTTTTTATTTTTTTTTCTTCTCTGTTCTTCTTTTTATTTGTTTTTCCTTTTCCTAATTTTTACATACATCTCCAATTTTGTGATTTCAATTATTTTTGACTTTGGTAGCTATGTAGTCTATTTTCTGATGAATTTTTGTTTTGTTTTTGCAGATTCTTCTCGAGGCGGAAGTTGATGGATTTAAGCCCTCTAGATTTGGCATGGATTCAACTGGAAATGAGTTAGCCTTGGTTCCAATAGAACCGTTGAGATCATCTACAACAATTGCTGGGGGCCCAACATCATCCAACGGTTATTCAACTGGTTACAGTTCCAATTTTATTCAGGGAAGTACTTTTAGTTCACCAATTTCAGATTTGGAGGACGGATTTTTAAAGCCTATAGCTAGAGGAGATAGGGGAGGTTTGGCAGGATTGCAGAATTTGGGAAATACTTGTTTTATGAATAGTGCCATTCAATGTTTAGTCCATACACCACCCCTTGTTGAGTACTTCTTGCAAGATTACAGTGATGAGATCAACAAGCAAAATCCTTTAGGAATGCATGTAAGTTGACGTTCTTAATATATCACGCGAAAGCTTGAATTATGAAACCTTTTGCATAAGGTATCTAATATTTGTTGTAGTTGTGCAGGGTGAGCTTGCAGTTGCATTTGGTGACTTATTGAGGAAACTCTGGTCCTCTGGGCGGGTGCCAATTGCACCTCGTGCATTTAAGGGAAAACTTGCTCGATTTGCTCCCCAATTTAGTGGATATAATCAGCATGATTCTCAAGTTAGTGCTATATAATATATGTATACATATTTTCTCTCCTCTTAATCGCAATGTTCGCAGTCAAATAGATCATATGTAACTTTTTTAGAAGCTAAAAATGTGCCAGCAAGAAAAAAAGTGATGTTCAATTGAAGAAAAAAAGAAAAAGAAAAAACAATTTGAAAAGAAATCAGTCCGTTGTATTGTTGATTTCTTAGTATTTTTAAAATTAATTCTATTGGATTACGTGTTTAGATAACCTTCCTGTGATTGTTGCTTATTTTAAAGTTATACGATGCTGCTCTGTTTATTCTGGTTTGCTCAATCTTTATCTTATGAAATTTTCTGATTGTGTCACTGATTGGGATTTACTTGCCTCAATTTTGGTGATATCTGGAAAACAATATATATATATATATATATTTTTAATTGTTATGTTAGTATGAGCTGAAGTTGAATTTTGATTGTGGTTATGAGATGGGAGTGACAAAATGGTTTTTTTTTTTTGTATATGTGCACTTGTGCGGGTGTGGGATGAGGCAAGATATCAAGAGATGGTTGCCTATCTTTGCCTTGAGTATCTTTGAATTGTACAAAATTATGGGTTTGCTGCTCAATTGAAAGCTTTTGAACAATCTGGATTGTTCGCAACTAGAATTGGCTGAATATGGAAAAATGGACTCTCCCTGCCCATTGATGGCTGTTCTACCATAGGAGTTTGTGTCATTTATGTATTGTACTGTAAGTCCTCATGACGAGTATGTACCTCAATAATTGGGCTGCACCTTACCCACAGGGAAGGTAGGAGGGGCTTGTTTGTATCCTACCTATACATGTATATTTATATAAATACATATATGCATGTAATTTGGAATATCTATGATATGTTGGATATTGTTACACGTTTATGCATGTAAGGTAGGAGTGGCTTGTTTGTATGCATGCATGTATATTCATGCACGGAATTGAGTACATTAAATATGTTGGATATTGTTATGCATTTCGTGTTATACTATTAATAGTAATAAAAAAAAAGAAAACGAAAAAGAAAAAGAAAAGGAATTGCAATTGTTGCTAGTCAAAGGCCTGGGTTTCAGTGACTTTCAAGTTGATATGGTCATCCATGAGATGCAAGTTTAATACTCAATAGCAACATTTGTGGTGTAGCAAAGAAATAAAATAAAATAAAATTTTAAAAAATATATTTTAGCTTGGTGTTTATTTGTTTTTTTTAGGTGTTGACTACCCTTATCAGCTAATGAATCAAGTTTTTTTTAGTCGTTCTTTTTTCTTTTCTTATCTATAATTCTAAGTAATGAATTCTCTCTTTAGGAACTCCTTGCCTTCTTGCTGGATGGGCTGCATGAAGATTTGAATCGCGTTAAGCAAAAGCCTTACATTGAAACAAAAGATTACGATGGTTGTGCCGATGAGGAAGTTGCAGATGAGTGTTGGAGATATCACAAGGCCCGCAATGACTCTGTAATTGTGGATGTTTGCCAAGTGAGTATTTCATTGTTACATGCTTTTATGTTTGTTAAATTTGTGTATAGTGAAGTTGTCATTAGTGTTGCATAAAATCACTATAGATAATTCTCGGGTCATTAAGTTACTATGGTCAAGTTGTTCTATTCGTTCCCTTTTTCTTTTGAGCAGGGCTATGAATTGAGCCTAGAATGCAACATTTTATAGTTTTTTGTTGGAGTATTCAAGGTTTATTTTGTTAGTCTTTTTTGGTATTGAGAAGTTAGTTATATTTGTTGCTACATACTATATATGTGCGTACATACATACATACATATATATATATATATATACATACATACATACATATATATATATATATATATATATATATATATATATGTATCTGAGTGAGGAGAGTGATTCCTGTTGAATTGCCTCTTTCATGCTTTGCATGCTGAGCCATCCTTCATTTTCCTTGTAGTTTCGGCAGAGCATGCTTATTACTACTATTAAAATTTCCCTTACAAAGCATATCCTATCAATCCTATTTTCATTTTTTCTACTGAAATGATTTTGCTGACATCCTTTAGCCATCAAAGCATTTGTTTATTTTGTTGGATAATGTGTTTTTATTTGTTTGAATTATTAATTGGCATTGAATTTAAATTCATGCTGGATAGAAGATTTTAATGGTTCACCCAGTGATTGTTACATGGAATCGCTGCTTTGCACCAGAGTAGTGAGTACCCATGTGGCCATGTCAACAGAAAAGAGATGGATATGGGTATGGAACCTTTGTTGATCTAGGAAGCCTGGACATGGACATGAGACATAGGTACGACACAATATAGACACGGCAATATGGCAAATGCCCCCAAAAAAAAGAAAAAAGAAAAAAAAAAAAGGACTCAGACACGGCAAGGATACGTAAAAAATAATAATAATAATAAAAATATGATATTACGTAAAAAATTAGCTTCTTTCAATTTCTCAATAATACCATTACACATTTTAGGAGTATACTACTATAATTTTTCAATATTAAAAAAAGAAGAAGCAATTTAAAGCATTTCTCCAATCGAGTTAAATTCCTCAACCATACAATAAATATACTTAAAGCAATTAAGTAGTTCATTTCTATCATTTAGGCAGTCAAGCATTGCTAGTTTACCAACTTAATTTTACATTTTAACAGCAACATAATTTAAAATTCGAGCTAAAGCCCCAATACCCCATGCTTTTATTTTTATTTTTTTTACTTTTTTTTATTTTTTTAATGTTTACAAATTGAACCTGCCATGTCCCGGAACGTGTCCTGGACACGTCTTTGCTTATCGAGCTGCGTACTTGGTGTATTTGGGATGTGTTTGTCTCAAAAAAAATATCATTTAAAAACATGGACACTTCTAGGCGTGAAGGACACATGTCTGGCCATGTTCCTGGCGGGTCCATGTCCAACACCGCAATGGAACCTCCGACAGAGGGTCTGTGCTTCGTAGGTGTTGATACATCTCAATTGGAGATGTAAAAAAGAAATGGAGTAAACTATGGATTGGCACACTAAATTTGAATGCTGTCATGATTTCAACCTTTGTTACATATTTCTGTGCTACTCTGTAATGGCTGAGCAATATCATCTTCTTGCTGGTGATTAATGGAGTCACCTAAGGAGTCGTGGCTGATCTAGGGTGTCCTGCCTTTTCACTTCAAACAAGGAAGATGAAATATACTGTTTGATAAGGACTTAAAATATCTTGTTATTTTGATAATTTTACTAATGCATCCCTTTTTTTTTTTTTTTTTTTTCAATTTTTTGGAAAAGACTTCTGTTTATGTCACTAAATTCAATTTAAAAAAACCCCATTCATGTAATATTATAACCTATATGATACTCAATTATTTTCAGGGTTCACCCTTTTCTATTTGCTTTTTCAAACACACCCTTTTTTTCTGATATTTGGACAACTTGGACACTTATAAGTGTCGACATAATGTTAGTACTAGACCTCAGAAAGATTGGACACATTTGTACCCGAGTCAACGTAACATAGCCAGCAAATATGTATAAATATATGAGGTATTTTTCCTTTTGGTTTATTAGTGTTTTAGAGCTTGATAGTTCTGAGCTTTTACAAATTGAACATTGTTCTAATGGCAATGTAAACTTGCTAACAAATGCTCAGGGTCAATATAAGTCAACATTGGTCTGTCCGGTTTGCGAAAAAATTTCAATAACATTTGATCCCTTCATGTACTTATCATTGCCGCTGCCATCGACGGTTACTCGGACAATGACAATAACTGTCTTTTATGGTGATGGGAGTGGTCTTCCGATGCCGTTCACTGTTACTGTCCTAAAACATGGTTGCTCTAAAGATCTTATTCAGACTTTGAGTACTGCATGCTGTTTAAAGAGTGATGAATGCCTGTTGCTTGCAGAGGTAAGATTATATTCTCTTGATTATCATTAATTAATAATTATTTATAATTATGTTGCTTATTTCTTTTTATATTCCTGCTTTCTGAAGCACTGTTTTTTCAATCTCCAGGTCTATGATCATCGAATATATCGATACTTGGAGATCCCTTTGGAGCCATTGTCGTCTATAAAAGATGAGGAACATATTGTGGCATACAGACTTCCAAAAAATCATGCAGAATTAACGAGACTGGAGATATGTCATCGATACCTAGATGAGTGAGTTGTCATTCTTAAATCCTTACCTAAAGTTTTACACGGGATAAAGATGATGGGAGTAAAAAAAAAAAAAAAAAAAAGGCTTGGAAAGTTCTTTGTTCCAGCCAACAGATCACATGACTTACAAAGATAAAAGAATCATGTGTTGGAAAGGGACACATATTCAGTGGCCATTAGCTTAATTCATGAAAATTCTGATTTCATTTATAATTAGTTCATGACTTGATATTTGTACATCAATAATTCTATCTGCCTCTGTTTTGTGGATGGCTGTGTTTGTGTTTGCATCTAGCACCCATGCGTAGAACTAAAGTAAAATTATGGTCAACCTTTCCTTGGGTTATAACAAAATTACAAATTACCCTAGCTATTAGTGATTCCTTAAGCACGATGGATTTTTCTATTAATTCTGAAATTATCCTTATTTAATGTAGCGACAGAATTGACCCCAACATATATATTTAAATTGATCTCTATGAAGACTCATGTGCAACGAGGCACGGGACAGCCTCCTCACCCTGTGTCACGATCGCTCCCTTCCCACTCGGCTATGTCCTTGCCTTCCATAGCCCTCATCTATGTTGGCATCTTTACCAAGATCCTTTCACTCTACCTTTGCCTCTCTATTTTGCCACTCTCTCTACTTCAATTCCCGAATCCCTACCCAGCTTTCTCTCTGAACATTTACATACACCAAAAACACTTGACATCCATAAATCTTATTCTTCATGCATGATCTTTGAAGTTCCTCACGAACTAATTCTCTTCTTCATCCCCAAAGCCAAAAATACACCCATCTGCGGAGTTGGTAATTGAGATCAAATTTTGATGGCCAGAGAGCATATGACACGAAGAGGACTTGGTGGGTCGATTTCACTCTCAAAATATAGGTCTTCATTGTTTTAATTCATTTCATTGATGGGTTCAATGGGCTATGATGGTCAGAGTTATTTATTTCTGTGTGTGAAAATATGGGTCTATATGATCTGAAGAGGCCAATCTGTTCAAATTTATCTTCTCTTCCATTCTTAGCCATCATCACCACAAAGTTACAAAGATGGGGGTGTGTCTCAAAGATACCAATGACTTTATCAGTTAATATATGGAGGTCCTTATCATGTGAAAGAAGGAGGTTTTCCCCACATGGCAAAAGAAAGGAAAAAAAGGTAGAAAATGAAAAAATAGGGAGAAGCTAGAAGATAAAATTTGAGTGAACTTTGAGGTAAAATGTCAGCAGCTAGATGGAAGAGGATAATTAATTAATTTGGGTGAGGAGAAAAAGTAGAGATAGGGAGGAGATGGTGGTCCAAGAGCAAGAGGAAAGTGAGCAAATAGATGGACGTTCATGTTTGCAACATTAGGGTGCCTGTGAACAAGGAATTGGTCATATTTCTTTGGATTTTGCTTATAATTTCTACATGGTAGATGTGGCATGTGTATGCAGTCATGCCTCTCCAATTTATCCTGTTTGTGTATTGTGTAACTCAAAATTTAATGAACAAATTTGTTGATACATGCTTTTAATTAACAATGTGTTCCTGTTTGATCACATGCATGTTTATGAGTCCGTGGTTCATTCCCTTGCTGAGAGACTAGGGAGGCCAATAGCCTTAGTTATTTTGTAGATACTAGAATTAAGCCATACATTGATCTTCTTTATTCGCCTTTTTTGTAATTTGCATAACCAAAGAACTTCTATACAGCTGTATGTCAGAGAATTTGAAGGGCTTTGAGAGGAAGTCCTTTTTGACACCACTGATTACGTATTTAGAAGGCCCACACACTGGAGCTGATATCAATCTTGCTGTTAGTAGAATTTTGTCACCATTGAGAAGAAAGACATATTTTAGTTCAACTAAGATCCATAGTAGCAAGGAAAATGGATCCATCTCAGAAGGTGTTGATGAACCAACGAACAGGTCTGATAACCAGTCTGTATCTCAGTGCCAGTCAATGTGCAACATGGAAATGGAAGAAATGTCCAGTAGAAAGTTGTCCTTTCACCTCTGCTTAGCAGATGAGAGGGGCTTGAGCTGTAAGCCAATTGATAAGGATTCCCTCATAAGACCCAGTAAACTGGTGAAAGTTATGCTGGATTGGACTGATAAAGAACATGAGTTGTATGATGCCAGCTACCTGAAGGATCTCCCTGAAGTTCACAAGTCAGGTGTTACCACGAAGAAAACCCGGCAGGAAGTTGTCTCTTTATTTTCATGTTTGGATGCATTCTTAAAGGAGGAACCTTTAGGGCCCGATGATATGTGGTAAAATATTCAAACATTGGTACAGCAGAACTATGTATTTTGAGGCCAGTTAATTTTAAATTTCTTACTAACGTTTTCTATTTTGTGCTTTAAAATATGAATGCAGGTATTGCCCACGGTGCAAGGAACACAGGCAAGCCACTAAGAAGTTAGACTTGTGGAGGCTTCCGGACATACTTGTTTTTCACTTGAAACGATTCTCATACAGCCGGTACCTGAAGAACAAACTTGATACCTTTGTAAATTTCCCCATTCTCAATCTTGATTTAAGCAAATATGTGAAGAGTAAAGATGCATCCACACGATCTCATGTATATGAGCTATATGCCATTAGCAATCATTATGGTGGCTTAGGTGGCGGTCACTACTCTGCTTATGCTAAGGTAAACACATGATATTCATTTTGTTCTAACTTTTTTACTTTTATTGTTGAAGATATTTCTAGGAAACCAATTTGTTGCCAATCTTATAGTTGGTACAGGCTGTGGTTTTCATCATCTCAATATCTATTTAACTGGTAACAATTGCAAGATCCTTAGTGTGGATGGATATTCTTGTAATAGTTACATTATATTTTGCTGTCATTTGGCCGATTCTCTTGAATTTCTTGTGGCCTGGTAGCGGCCACATCCAAAGTACACGGTCATTTGGTTCTGAGACAGAAGTGAAAGAATCCATCTGCTGTTGTTTACGTATTATTTAAATGTACTTTGCTTTGTATGCCTGGCAACAGAATACTTCCTTTTTTCATGGGACTCTTGTCGAATTTAAAACGAAAAAGGGTAGAAGAAAGAAAAGCTCAAAGATTTCCTTTTTTGTGCAGTCAATTGATGAGAACAGATGGTATCACTTTGATGATGCCCACGTTTCACCAGTTGGTGAAGCTGATATCAAGACATCAGCTGCTTATGTATTGTTTTTCCAAAGAGTTAAAGCTGAACCGAACATAGGAGTGGGAGAGTCATCCCAGGTGAATGTGAATTCTTGAAGGCTGAGATCTGTTGTATGCATTTTGGTATTGCATGGTTCATGGCGCTCTTGCTATCCATTTTGGAGGGAAGGTTGACTTGGTAAAAAAAAACCACATTTTTGGTCAACCATGGTGTTTTTTATTTGATGATCTAAACCTGCGGGTTTGGGCTGAAGACAAGGGAAATGTGGACAGTGGCATTTGGACAAAAATCAATCGTCAGGGAGGGGTTAGAGTCAGTTACTTGGCATTTAGGAAGAGAAGAAATTACCTGGCAAACATGGCAAGAGGATGAGGGTTAGATTTATTCAAAATAGTATTTTTTATTTTTATTTTTATGATTTTTGAAAGATTCTTTTTATTTTTTTAATGGCATTCAGGTAGTTGACGGATTCCTGAATATTCTTTTCTGTGGATCCTTTTCATTGTAGAGTGTTGGTACCCATATCTCACAAAGTACATTATGCAGCTTCTTGTTTCACACCCTTCTCTCTATAGTTGAATGGAGGAGGGTATGGTTTAAACAGCATTTCACTACTGCTACTGTCATTTATTTTTGTTGTGAAACTTATAGTTTGTGGGTTAATGTACGAGTGTTGTAATGATTGCAGTTAGTTCATCTTTTCACGTCATTATATATTCATAAATTTTACTTGCGTTTTTTTTTTTAGAAGCTTAAGCAAACTCACACGCTCGTGTCTTCGCCGAGGCTAGTGTGAGTTTGTACGAGTTGGGCTATTGCCCATTTGGTTACTTTTATGCTTTTGATCCAAATTAAACTTGTTTAGTTCTTGTTGTATGTGAGCAAAATGACTTCTAAAATCAATTTTACATAATAGGTGAGGTGGTGATAAAATTTGATGACTTCTAAAATCAATTTTATATAATGGATTCTTTGAATTTGCTGCCTTCAGACTCCATCTTCTACCTCTTTCCAGATATATTTGCTGTGAGTATTCCAAATCTCTGCCTCTATTATTATTATTATTATTTTTTTTCTCTGTTGCATAAATAAGTAATATATATATTATATATCATCATTTTCATCATACTTGAGTTGGATGTGCCTAAGTTACATACATATATATCATTCATATATATGCAGGGTCTGCTAGGATTTTATTTCTGTGGCACATTGCAGTTGATTGAAAAAAAAAAAAAACAATCAACAAGTATGACAAATATAGAAAAAAAAAATAAGTGTAAAATTATATGCTAAATAAGTAGTGTATAAAAAATTTACTTTACACATACAAAATAAAATAAAATATTGATTAATAATATTTTCATTAAGCAATTACAACTGCCCTTGATGGGGAATTCTCATTATGGATTGATTTAAATAAGTAGAATGTATTAATTGATTTAAATAAGTAGAAGAAGAATAAAAAGAATAAGAAGGGAAAAAAATGTTATAGAAAGAAAAATTTTAAGAGGTAAATAAATAAATAAAATTTTAAGAGGTGTAATGGTAGTACTACCTTCTTGAGAGAGTCCGTCAAGGGCGTTGGTGGTGTCGAGGTCGTGATGCCACCGTGCTTCCTCCTCATCAATTTGGAAGGGCCTCCGATTTGGCCCAATTTTACTAAGGCTTCATGAAAAATGAAATTATTAAGGCTCAAAACATGAAAAGCCACACTTGAGCCCAACAAACTTATATATCATGCAGTAATAATTGAACAATAACAACAGGAAGAAAAAGCAGGATAGTAGTATGTAAAATTAATGCGACGGTGACACTAATTTTTTTTTTTTTATTATTATTTTTTTGGTGACGTGTGACACAAATTACTAATACGGAATCTAATACATATTAATTAAAACAAATACAGTTATCAGATTATATAAATTTGACATATACTACTTTGTTATTCAATTAAATTAATAAATAATAATTAGACTAACAACCAAAGAAACAATTAATTGAATTAGCCTTTCCAAATAAAAGATAATAATAATTGAATTAGATGAAAAAAAAGTAAAAAAATAAAAAAGGAAAACCAATGGCACACCAAAATTAGTCAACGTTGTGGTGGATATTACCAACACGAAATTACCAACACCATCAGAGCACAACCATTGACCCCGTCGACCAAACATTCCATAAAGAAGAAGAAAGATGGAAAAATTAATGGAAAAATTATATACATTATACCACGATGCTTCTTTTTCAACTTTCTTGTTAAGTACTTATAATATATTTCATGGAATATTGTCAAATATATCTTTGAGTATGATTAACAACAAATCGAATCTTATTGCATGAAGACAGATAGGAAGTGGTATTGTCGAAACCTAAAAATCAAAGTCATGGTACACGTTCTCCATCTAATTATTCTTGGTTTTATTTTTTTTCCTTCTAACTTACTCTATTTGATTTATTTTTTCTAATAATATTGAATATGTACGCAGTACAGATGCACAATTATTTATTTATGGTAATAAATTTATTATTATTGGTTGGTTGTCATATGCAAACTGTATTGACACACAAATAGTTGTTAGTGGTGATAAATTTATAGTTATTAATTAGTCGTCTTATGCACACTGCACATGCACACAATTGTTTATTGATGATGAACACAATTATATTGTTGTGCGTTAAGTTTTGGTTGAATGTATTACTTGTAAAAGTGAAAACAACATATGAATATATTTTATATACTCGTCGTTTATAATTTTATTTTTTTATTATTAATTTTTTTTTGCATATGAAACCTTAGGTATAAAGTGCCTCAAATGTGAGAATTCCCCATAGCCTCTCAAAATTTTGAGAGTCTTAGGGTCAGCCCTTGGCAGCGTAGGCCCGAACATCAGCTTTGATATTGTACCTCTCACCGACAATGAGCTCTAGTGGAAAATCTAAGAGATGTCTCATGTGATCCTCTTCCTTCATGTCCAATATATATATATATATATAGTTAAACGGTGTCCAATGGTTGTGAACCCAAGCTCAGCTATATTTACCAGAGTGTAATATCTAATACGAGCTTAAAATAGCTCCTCAAGTCCTCCCAGCAGCTCCCTCGACTAGACCGATTACGCTGCTGGTGGCCGACCAATTCTTGTAGCCGTTGTATGGGTATATCCCCTTTAGATCCAGCTTGATTAAGCTGGCATCGGGTCCATTTCTTACAAATAATTAAACTAACTTCAAATTAAACAACAACTACTCTCCCTCTATTTATATAATATACCTATATATGTGTATAATATATATATATATATATAGAAAAAAGATTAATTTCATTGACACCCCTTAAGGTTTGACCAAATTTCACGCAAAAATATATTTCGAAAATTGCTATCACTTAGACTTCAAATTACTTTTCTGTCAATGACACCGTTAAAAATGTGCAAAATGATAATTTTATCCTTAAATTTTTAATGCTTTTTATTTCAAAATATCAAAAAATTAAAAGGACTAAAATACCCTTAGTCTAACACCAACCCTTCCCTGCCATTCGAAGTCACCTAAAAAAAGCAAATATTTTCCTTTCTCTCACTATAACACATTACGTCTCTGGTTAAACAATTAGAAATTTCTAGACAAAATTCAATGAAAGCCATTGAAAAATAAGTAATCAATACCAAGAGAAAAAGTCGAAAAGGTTTCAAACCCACCTTCTGAAATTCAAAGAAGCGCTCAAATCCCCTCACTATCATGTATCTAGTTATATATATATTTATATATATAAAGTAATTTGGTAAAATTGGCGTACTCAATTTGAGAGTCTGACTCTCATTATAGGCAAGAGGAAAATTACAAATATGGAAAGAGAAAAAAAAAATCAAATCCCTAAATAAAAGCCTAAACATTAGCCTATAATGAAGACCCAAAAAATCTACCACAATCATTGAGTCAACTTATAAATATAATTTCCAACACTCCCCCTTAAGCTAGAGCAAATATGTTGACTAAGCCCAGCTTGACTATGGAAGACTGGAGAAGAGAAGGCCCAATAGACTTTGCGAACACATTTGCAGTTTGTTCTGAAGAGGAAACAAAAATAGGATTAATGATACCTGATTGAACCTTCTCTCGAATGAAGTGAATGTCTACCTCATTATGTTTCGACCTTTTATGTAAGATAGAATTGGAAGCAAGCATAATGGCTGATTTATTGTCACAAACAGCCTGAAGAACCTTTCTCTACATGACCCAACTCTCACAAAATTGATTGAAGCCAAAGGAGCTCACAAGTACCTTGAGCCATAGCTCGGTATTCAGCTTCAATAGAAGATTTGGAGATAATAGCTTGCTTCTTACTCTTCCATGATATGAGATGATTACCATAGAAAGTACAGAAGCCAGAGGTAGAACGTCTATCTGTCTTACATCCAGCATAGTCTGCATCAGTAAAACATGAGAGTCCAGACTGATTTCTTGAGGCATAGAATATACCAAGGCCAGGGCACGACTTAAGATACCTCAAAATATGGTAGACTGCATCCATATGAGCTAAGCGAGGGGCATGCATGAATTGACACACCAACAACAAATGTCAAATTGGGCCTTGTGTTAGTCAAGTAGATAAGATGAACTACCAAACATAGATACATGGATGGATTTGGAAGTAATTCCCTTGACTCAACAAAGAGTTTGAGATTGGGGTCCATAGGAGTGGAAACGGGTCGACACCCAAGCATGCTAGTATCTTGAAGAAGATCCAAAACATATTTCCTTTGAGATAAGGAAATTCTATGACGAGATCTAGCAACCTTAATTCGAAGAAAATATTGAAGGGGACCTAAGTCCTTCACATTAAAGGACTTTTGAAGATGAAGTTTCGCCCGAGCAATCCTTGAAGCATCATCACCTCTAATAATGATATTATCCACATATACTAATAACATAATGCAGTGACCATTATAGTGACATCAAACAAAGCAAGTATGGTCTGAGTGACAACGCACAAAGCCCATGGATAGAACGACATCGCTGAAATGACTAAATCAAGCTCTAGGAGATTGCTTCAAACTATAAAGAGACTTCCGCAGCCAATAGACTTTCCCAGCATACTCCCCCTCAGCCCGAAATCCAGGGGGTGGATCCATATATATAGTCTCAAGTAAGTCTCCATTAAGAAATGCATTCTTGACATCTAACTGATGCAGAGGCCAAGAATGGGCAGCAGACAAGGAGATAAGTAATCGCACATACGTCAACTTTGCCATAGGATCAAAGGTATTTCCAAAGTCTTTGCCAGGAATTTTAGTAAAGCTTTTTGCCCCCAACCGAACCTTATACCGATTAATAAAACCATCGGCTAAGTACTTCACAGTAAAGACCTATTTGCAGCCCACTGTTTTCTCTCCAGCAGGTAAAGTAACAAGTTCCCATGTATTATTACACTGTAAAACATCCATTTCTGTTGTCATGGCAGACACCCAATTGGTATCCAAGAGGGCCTTTGACACTAATCGAGGAATAAAAACGGTCCTAGTCTTGCCCAAGAAGGATTTATATGCACCTGAAAAACCATTATAGGAGACATACGAGGAAATAAGGTGGTTAGTGCTACTAGAAAAACCATACCAATTAGGAGGGTGACGATCACAAGTATGATAACGGGATATATGTTTAGGAATGGTAAGAGTCACGGGAAAAGGAAAGTTACTTGGACCTGGTTCTGAAGATGATTTTGGCAGGGGAAGTTGAGTGTAATGGCGACGAGAGTAGACCTGTAAAGACGGAGGGGAACCTTGCATGGATGGAGAAGGAGTTTCCAAGACAGTATGATTTTTAAAGAGAGGAACATGACGGGCAATAGGAGAGATCACCTTTTCCAGACCATAAAAGAGAGAATCCTGTACCACAGAATTAGTACTATAAAAAAGAACAATTTCATGAAATGTCACATCTAGAGAATGATACATATGTTTGGCCACAGGAGCATAACAACGATAGCCCTTTGACATAGCATAATACCGTAAGAAATTATGCCTAATAGATTTATCATCAAGTTTATGACAAGAAGGACTACGGTTATGAATAAAACAAGTACAGTCGAAAACACAAGGCAGAAAGTGAAACAATGTATAATCACGTTGGAGAATCTAAATTGGGGCCTTACCACCCAAAACTCTACCGGTGATTAATAAAAAAAGTAGCTGTAGGAACAACCATATGCTAATAAAATTTAGGTATATGCATACCACTCAGAAGACATTGGATTGCAGACATAAGATGAAGGTTTTTGCGTTCAGCCACGCCATTTTGCTCAGGAGTGTAGGGGCAAGTGAGTTGATGTAAAATCCTTTTTTAGTAAGTTCAGTTTGGAACTCATTCAAAACATATTCACGTCCATTATCAGAACGAATATTACGGATAACAGTGTTATACTTGGTTTTGATCATTTGAAGAAACTGGGTAAATAAAAGGACACTAGATTTCTTTTTTAATAAATAAGCCCAAGTACAATGAGAATAATCATCAATAAATGTCACATAATATCGATGCCCAGAGAAAACAGTAACTGGGGAAGGACCCCAAACATCAGAATGAATGAGATCAAACGTCAACCCCCTTAAAGTCCCTGCGTCAAAGCTGAAGACTTACTCATTTGAGAACGACTGCCCTGAGGCTGCAACTGTGGACAGCGAGCCTTGATGTGCCCCGGCTGCTGACAGTGGTGACAAATCAACTTCCTTGAGGAAACAGGAACTGTAGGTGCAGACCGAGCCTGCTGTGACTGTCCCTGAACACGAGAACTGTCCCCGGCCTTAGCCTTCTTCTACTGACCCCCAACAGATATTGCTGAAGCCTCTCCACGAGACTGCTTATACAAACCCTTGATCCTGCGCTAATCTCGGTCCTCTGCCTCAACCATCATAGCCCTTTGAACCACTTCTCTGTAGGTCCTCAAATCCAGTACTAAAATCCATGGCCTAATATCAAGATGTAACCTATCCTGAAACTTTCTTGCCCTGAGTTCGTCGGTAGCTACCATCTCTAGTACATAGCGGGAAAGAGAAGTGAAGCATGTCTCATACTCAATGACACTCATCATGCCCTGATAAAGACCTGTGAACTGCATTATCATATCCTGCCTCATAGCCCTCGGAAAGAAGCAGTCAAAGAACAATATCCTGAACTCCTCCCAAGTCATCACCTCCACATCGTGGATATTGGTCATAGACCTTCACCAGATATCGGCATCTCCCATGAACATAGAGGCTGTCAAGGAGATCCTCAATCGGTCTATAAGTACTGCCATGTTATCAAGCTTGTGTACCATGAGATCAAACCATGCCTCTGAAGCAAGCGGATCCATATTCCCTATAAACTGGTCGATCTTAACCCGTTGTAACTTCATGAAGTAGTCCAATGCCTCATTAGCAACCGGTGCCCGTGCTAGCGCCGGTACCAGAATCTGCATCCCTGTAATATGTTGACGAAACATCTACTGAATGGACTCTGACATTCCCAGAGCCACTCTATGTGTGATCTGCTCCTCATAAGTCTGCGCTCGTGGTGGATTAGGACCCATGCCACGAACTGGAATCCTGGGCCTCCCCGAACCCCTCGTAAACTCGGTGTCATCCATCTGCTCCTCAATGCCCTAACATGAAAACTCTCCACACGTGACAACCATGATGCTAAACGTACGAAAGAAAAGAAGAGATCAACAATAACACAAGCTATTATAATTGAATGCAACTCACACTATAAAAACATGAAACACAAAGCAAGATAAGGTATGTAACATATGGTCATGCTAAAGCAATCAAAGAAAGCTCTTTAAACAGTTAAGAACTTAGGCCAATAAGCATACATGTCAAACAAGGATGCTTTTTAAACACAAAAGCATATAAGCATAAAGACATGTCATAATACTAAGCGTATTGCCAAGAAACACGTAAACATGTTACAACGCCAAAACATGTCATCAAAAGCATGCATATATATCAAGTACATTAACAAAAGCATGATATGCACCCAAAACCCATCATCCTAATGTATTCAAACCTAAGAGCTCTGATACCACCTATGACGGCCCTGGATTTCTGAACCCAGTGCGTCTTATAATTACCCGAAGATGATCCATTAATGGATCCAAAATACAAAAGCGAAAGACATAACCAAGGTCTCTAGAGATGGATGTCATCCCTAAGACACAAAGGTGGCTTCCCGAGTAGTCTTGAGACTCAACAGAAGCAAGAAGAAAACAAAGGTTTTGAAACCTTACAAGAGATGGACTGAGGGTAAAATGGTCATTTCATAGAGAAATGGATGCTACCAAGCATACCATTGGAAATACAACAAAAAACTAATGAATTTAGACTCAAGAATCACCTAATTCAGAGTCCGAACGGAAAATATATGAAAATAATAACAAAACGGCATTCTTCGATTTAGAGATACCGCGACCCTATCTCACTAAAACTGGTATAACTCTCATTATGGTTTGATTTTTATACGTGGTTGGTACTATTGGAAAGCTAATTTCAAGCTCTTGAATTTAGGCTCAAGAATAACCTGATTTGGATAAAAAATGAAGGAGATATGACCCTCTGAAGTTGGCCCAAGAAATCTGTCCAAGAAACTAAAAAGACACCAAGCTTCAGGGAGGATCAGCAGGCTGACAAATACTACCAGCCAACTGAAACTCAATCATCAGCCGGTTGATGAACAGTACCAGCCGGCCAAAATGCCATTTTTCACTTGCAAACCTACTGGAATTAGTCTCGAACAGTCATCAATCGGCTGATAACTACTATCAGCCGACCTATGGACCTGGTAACAGCAGAAAAAGCTGCTGCAATCTATGGGGAAGGTGTTTGGCTCAATCCTAAAGCTATGCATGCTTTCCATTTGATCCGGACAAGTTTCAAAACATTCCCTAGCCTCATGCAAGCATCTAAAACATGCTCAATCAAAATAAAGCTTTAAGTGATACCCAATGCATGAATTTTGCTTAAATTTTTATACATCATCCAAAAATAGTTCAAAAGTTGGAACTTAAGAGTTTTGTGAAATGTAAACATGCACGCATACGTAAAATGAATAAGTAGACGCGCTACAATGGCCTACGGCCTCATAGCATGTCATATGCAAAATATGACCCTTCAACCCTTGAAATCCCTTTATATTCCATAAACAAACTATGAAGTTAAACAAGCATACATGTCATATAAGTGTCTTTGACCCTTGGCCTCATTACATATACATCCAAAGAGTGTCAAAAGGTGCACTTAAGTGCACATTACATAGTTTGAACATTAAATATATGTTTTGTCAAAATAAACCAAAATGTAGCATGATATGCTAATAAGAGCAAATTCTAACATAACAAAAAATATTCTAAGTAGTCAAGCAATCCTAAAAGTGTTGTGTATTCCACAATAATGCTTCTTTACCTGAAAAACACTCAGTAACTTTGGGGTGAGTAAACAAGTTTACTCGTAAGGAATGAGCATGCATGAACCTACTTTATACAACTTTGCAATTTGA